TCCCCCATATACCATTTTATTTCCATCTCTGTCACAATAGCCCGACGTCACATCACGGTAAAACTCTCTGCATTACCACCCGTAGCATGGTTTCCACCGATTCGCGGTAGCCTGTCAACGTGACGTTGCTCGGATCACTAGCCTTGGAGACATCAATCCACAAAGGACCGCAGTTAGGTCGGATCAATGGCAACTCTTGATCGTTTTCTATCGGATTCATAGACTCGCCCAACTTGGTGGCGGCAAGGAAAGTCTTTCGCTCATGGCGTTCCGCACTAGAGGCTGCCGCGGCGGCAACCCCCCATACCCATCGTTGTATCCGCTCCGGGGAAAGCTCCTTTCCTGGTTTCCACTCGGCACCCTCCAGTCGCTGGCCTACCAAAGCCTGGTAGTCCGGGAGTTGCGCTAATCTCCACAGCAGCGCGATGGCATCGCCGCAGCGACCATTTCCAGCCTCGACGGCCTTCAGCGCTTGATTAAGTGCCTTCTGGTGGTCTCCTACCTGATGGTAAAGCTTCGCAACGGATACCAGCGCGAGCCCCTCGCGGGATTTCCACTGCTTCATCACACATGCAGCCGAGCGACCACGGGAAGAAGGCGGCTCGAGGTCTATATACAAGTGCAGGAGCTCGCCCACTGGGATCGTAAAGGTACCGTCGCCTGTCTTCGGAAGCTTCTGGAGAGTCTCCTTCACCACTTCCAACGCGGCCGCGTCGCCAACGTGGAGCCGCTCAACAGATGCCCTGGCGAGCCCGAGGGCGGCCGTGGCTTCTGCGATGTTGTTGCGCAAAAATCCGCCGCTTTTCGCTCGCAAGGACGAGCTGCTGTGGCGAGAATCCGCGGCGCCTGTGGCAACAGCCGCGTCCAGCAATAAAGCTCGAGCGGTCGCCGCGGAAAAAAATAGCTCGGACTCGATCCGGACGGCTGCGTAGATCCACACCGACACTTCGCGATAGCAGTGCTCAGTGGATAGCGCCTTTGTGTAGAGCTTGCGCATCTGCATGATGAGATCCGACGGAATGATGGAATCCTTGGTGGAAGCTTTCGCGTCCAAGACGGTCTTCCGCATCTCCTCCAGGCGCATGAGCCACAGCCGGGGTGAAGAAGGAACGCGCTGGATCCCTTCCTCGAGCAATGCCGTGATCTCCTGCCCCCGGCTCCGGCGGTGAACGGCAAGTTTCACCCACACCAAGTCGTCCTTCACGCCCCCGGATCCAACCCCTGTTGTCGCACCGCAGGACGCATGAGGGTTCGTAACCGTTGCCTGTAAAAGACACGCATCAGCATGATCATTCAACCCCAATGCAGCATAGGCTTTGGCAATTGCACAGACAATCAACATGCTCGGCACAGCACATTCCTGCGCACTCATCTGCGCCCGCTTGAGAATGTGGAGCACGACATGGTAGTAAGCCCGTTTATAGAAAGCATCGGCAATGGTAAGAAGCAGCTCAACGTGGGTTAGGTAGTCTGCGTTGGAAAGCATGGGTAAAAGCACGGCGATCAGTGGCACGCGGGCTCTCAACTCATTCGAAACCCTTCGTTTAACTGAGGTATCCCCTACTGAAACGTCTTCGCGCACCGGTTCTTGAGACTCCTCTTCCTCGGCCGTGACCACCGTACCCTCACCACGCTCCGCGTTTGACAACACCCCTTGAGGCTGGCCACTTGTCAGGAGTTCGGATACAGAATTCAGGATTTCCCGGGGCGCCGTTTCGATCGCAGCGCGTATCACGCTCATCGCCTCTGCCAGGTTGGACAGCACTTTTGTCTTATCACTCGCTTGATTGGAAGGCTTTTCGTTCCCGATCTTTTCATCCTCATTTGGCAAAGGTGGTACCGTACCTGCTGCTTTTCTTGACTCCTCACTTTTCTGCAGAAGAAGCCAACCAGCCCAGAGAGCACAGAGCAGCTCATGTTGTTCCCAGGGTGACTCCAGCAAAGCCAGAATGTCCAACAGATAGGTGTCCGCCGAACTTGAAGAGGATTCATGACGAGGCCTGCCCAACTCAACACCACGTACGGGCAGAACCGCATATAAGAACATATACGCTGCAGTCCATAGATACAAAAAGCCAGTGCTAGGATCTTTGGCAACCCTCCTACCATCCACGGTGCCGTCGCCGCAGAGCTCCGTCGCCTTGCCTAGCCACCGGCGACGGGAGGAATCTTCGGATATGCTTAAATAATGCTGTGCGGCGACTCGAACCAATTTTTCGATCTCGCCCAGGGTAGCTTCACCGAAACCCGAGACGTCTTCCACCGCCGCGGGATCATCCCTACCACTATGGGGTATACTCGTCTGCACCCGGTTTTCGATCGCACTCCACTCAACAAATTTGGCCGCCTCGATGAGGAGCTCCAGAGAGGCGTACCGCTGCGCGGCCGCGCGAAAGATATCCAACCCCATCGTATAGGACTCCAACCGCGCCAGTTTCGACCACAGCAAGGGAAGATGTGGGGTGTGTTGCAACGCCTTTTGGAGGACCTTTTTCTGATCCTGTGGGTTTGATACGTGGGCGACGAGACGCAGCCAAAGCGCCTCACTTCGCGGGCACGCGATCACGGCGCGCTGCACCCACTCCAGCTGCTCATGGGGGGCGTGGTAGGTGAGCAGTTCAAGCCAGAGGGCGTCGGCGCCTGGGAAGGCCTCTGTGGCCTCCTCCAGAAGCCGGCGACGGGCCGCGTGGTCGTCCTTTGGCAGGTAACTCAACCGCTCCTCCCAGATCAGGCTGCCCTGCCGCCCGGTCCGCGCGCAGCCTTCGATGAGGGTTTGGTGGGCTTTCTTGTGCATCCCCATCTCGCGATACGCCCTGGCATGGGTGATCCAGGTGGACTGCTCCTCGGGCGAGCCCATCTCCAGGATGTTTTGAAGATTGTGCTGTGTGGCGGTGTTCTTGCCATGAAGTAAGTCGTGTACGGTAATACGATTCTCATCTGAGAAGAAATACTCCTCTGCTGCATCCACCGCCTCAGTACGGGCGCTGCGTACCATCAACGATGAACCCACACCCGATGAGTCTACAGTAGAGAGATCTTCTAAAGAAAGTTTAGTGGTTCCAGATGCACTGGAATGATTATTTGCCATGGCATCAGGGTCTTCCTTCTTCCCTTTCTTTTCCTTCTGGTGGTGTCGCTCTAGCCTCTCCAGCGCAACAAAAAGATCGTTTTCCTCAGCTGTGGTCTTCTTCACAAGACCGGGTAGACCAACAGTCAGCTCAGCTGATGTTACAAAGGGTTTCGCGCCGCGTCCTACTCCGTACTGATAACCCCGCGGCGGGCGAGGGGCGTGCCAGTCGTATTTAGCGAGTATCCGTTCATACTTGTCTACTTTCTCATTAGGTGCCTTCATGGGTTGTTTAGCCAATACGGCACCAGAGGTGTGTACTAATGTGTTTCGCTCTTAATAGGGTTCTGATCGAAAATATATGTCATAGGTAACTATGTTGACTGTGCAATGTACAAACTGCATACGAATGCGTAAAAGGTGAAATTTACTCCACATTCATTAATAGTAATTGTTGTTGTTGTTGATTTAATTTATTCTGTTGCAACAGTAGACAAGATAAATGAAAAATATAAAGGAGAAGCCAAATAGTGGTTCGCCGTGTCCATTTTTGACGCCTTATACCTGATCTCCTCGCATCTAAACAATGTGTTCGACTGAGCGAGGCGAAGCTAAGAGGAACGCCAAAAACAATTTAATAATACCAATCTAATGAGACGCCACTTGAGGAGCGTTATACGTGGAGAAGGCACTCTCCCATAACCACTGCTCAAGGTTCACAAGTAACTTATTTCTGTCTACCAGAGACGCATCGGATAGTAAAAGCTGAGTGTTCGAGTTGCCATGCGTGACGACATTCCTGCTCGTCGTCGTCGACTCCAGAAGCACAGTGCCGCCGGTTAAATAGAACTTATGCAGATTCATCAAAAAAGCCGAAGCATTTTTGTCATCGGGCTGCACTTGATGGTTGGCGATGGGAAGCCTGAGCTGCACCGCGAGGTGGGATCCCGGTCGAATGTCTACCGCAAAATAAGCTTTGAGTAGCGACACAAAGAAGTGTTCCTGTAGCTGCCTGGCTTGCTTCGCCAAAGTATCAATCACCACGGTACAGAGCAAATGATTGGCGGCGAGCAGACCACTTTCTAGACCCCCCTTGGTGAGGTTCTTCTGGATAAAACGCAGCATCACATCCTGGCGTTGTGGTAATACGATGTGAATGCCGCAGCCGTCAGCAGGCACACCGACGTTAGAAGCTCCTGCCGTCGTCTCGAGGGGTGCTCCGATCCTCCCAGAGGAGTCCTCCGTCGCCTCTGGTGAAACCGATGAGGAAAACCAAAGAGAGGCAGCAGGCACCCACACATTCCAATGCAGCTTTAAAACGATCCATTGTCCACCCGCACAGTTATAGGTAAAGTCCACGAAGAGGCCGTGTTGAATGCCCACACGTATGACGCCTTCATTGACGTGCACAAACTGAAAATAAGTGTGTCGGTCAGGATCTAGCAACGATTTACCATCGGAGTCCCCTAGCCTTGATGAGATATCACGTAGCTGTTCTCGATACGCCTCTTCGGCCTGATACAGGCGAGGAAGCTGCAGCAAAAGCTGTGCTTTGCTGGTTACGCGCCATGCGCGCTGGAGCATCTGCCTCTCCGCCGAGAGGTTCAGAGCCGCATACTGCCGCAATGCAGGCGAGAGGTAGATAAAGGTCGAGGAATCTGCGGCCATACCCCTGGCGAGGGCATCCAACCTCGGTAAAAGCGGAACCCGTCCTGTGTACAGGGCGAACCGCTGCTTCCTTTGAGATGACGAAACTTCCTCGAATATGCTCGATACCACGTTCCCTACCCCCGTATGACTCCTTCGGAGCTCTTTATCAGCGCCCGGGAATCTCGGGCGCTTTAGACTTTCTTGTGTCTCTTCCGTTCCATCAATAGCATGAGTAGTGGAACTGCTAAGTGAACTCACTGCCTTCGTTTCGGTCGCACTTTTCCTCACCCTGCGAAACGCGGTTCGTACGTTGGTACTGGAAAGCTCAATGGCAACCTCCATCAATCCCCTTGAACGTGCGACAGGCTTAATCACAGGAGAGTTCTCGTCTGTGTGCTTAGCATCAACTGAAAGAATCTCCGTCGTACTGAGCATAGCGAGGCAATCGTGGAGACCTTCTATCGCCCGAACTGCCACTGCGCTATGCGCTCTGACCGAGAACACGCCTGAGCCCGCTCGTCTGGAACTGCCGATTTGGTTTTTAGAGCCCAACATCCCCTTATTCCATTGCGTGTTTGTGGGATCGGAGAGATGCCCTTGCCGGCCTCGATATAGCGTACCCCCTTGCTGACGACGCGCCCACTGCTCTACCAGACTGACAACCCGTTCGATACGTTTCGTTCGAAAAGATAGCTCTCGTAACTCATCCGTGGGGAGTTCGGCCATATCAGCAGATCGCGACATCATTTCTTCGTTAGGCGCACCTGAGAACGATACTTTGTCTTCATCATCGGTTTTGCACTGTGGTTTTGATCCTATTGGCCATGAAGAATCCTGCAGTGCGGAGAGCTCCTCAAGGGTTTGAGTTGCATAATCTGACATAAGACGCATGATGCTGATGGGGAGTAGCTCCTTAGGTGGTCTTACCCCATCGCGACCTGAGCATGAAACAGGATGAGACATTTTGGGTAAAGCATAAGACTTATTTGTTTTGACTATTATTTATGGCTTCTATCATAGAGAACACTTCTTGCGCTTACGAGGCGTTTAAGCTTATCCTTGATAAAGAAAAGTTTGAAGCTGCCAATTTTATTCTTGGAAAGAAGTGTTTATAAGCTCGCTATGTTTATATGCGTGATTTATCTCATGACGATAGAGGGAGAAGAGGAGGATGATACGCATCTCACGTGTGACGAATGAGAGTTCAAGAAAGATAAGTACGAAAATGAGGAAAAATATAGCAGGAGTCAGGGTTAAACCCAATAAATTTAATCTTGAGGTCAACGTGAAAATAGAATACAAAAAAAATTACCGCTTGTCCTGCGTTGTGTTGAAACACAGTGATTAAACGTATGAATAAACAAACGAAACGTTTACCCTTTTATATACTTAGCACTATATTTAAGCCAAAAATTATTCATCATGGTTAGAAAAAAACCCTATATCCTCTCTTTCTCGAGTTCCGAAGAGGTGATGTAAACAAGCTATTACAGCCGCGCACTATGTGAATATTTCATTATTAGGCGGACTTTTGTCCTTACTCAAAATGTGTAGAGCAAACTACGTTTTGGGCGAGAGGCTATAGGTGGGCAAATCACCGAAACGTCGTAGTGCGCAACATGGTGGCTATCATTACGAACCGAAGGGCAAGACTGAGGCTGTAGTGGTAGTAGCAAATTCTCTCGTGCAAAGGTATAATTTACCATATAACCGCGTTCGGTACTACTCCCCAAAGTAAACCTGTAAACTTCCACGTGGTGTGGCCTGGGATAGCAGTTGAACGCATAGGGCGGTTTATTAAAAAACCTGCTCAAACGATATCCTTCTGAAAAAGTTCAATCGATCAGATTCTGTTGATTATTCATCCCCTTCCCGCACATTGTTCATCATTTAGGAAGCCAAAAATAATTTAATGCTGCAGTAAACGTTATGCTTTCACTAAAACTTGTGTATTGTATACTATAGTGCAATGCATTCCAAATCTCTCCAAAAAGTAGAAGCAGCTTCTTAGAAGGGAAAGGTACAAGCAAATGAGTCCGGGAACCCTTCCCTCAAGACACATATAAGAAAACAAGAGATGAGGAAAAAATAACGATGGAATGCAAGGAAAAGTGAACAAAACGAACTGAAGTTTAGGAAAATTCAAATACTTCATACTTGTATAGTACTCACAGCAACAACCCCAGTGCTTAATAGCACAATAAAAATGAAAATCTTCACAGTTATTAATGAAGCAAGCCGCAATCTCATAATTTTCGCTATTTCTAATACGTCTAGCGATAACTCAATTTTCAAACCAAAAATGTAAAGATTTTTAATACTCATGTTAAGAGTGAATTTGTTCACCAATTTGAAGGCACCGCAGCAACAAGTCTACGATGGGCACTTTCCATTGCCAAAATTGGACTTTTTATCGTAATTATGATACAAAATATTTCTCCGCAACGCCCTCCGTTGCCCTCTATTCGCCGCAGGAAAAATGAAGGGAAGGAAAAAAAATAACACGTTTTTTAAAAAAGGGAGAAGCAATAATGGCAGTACTGTAACCATTTGGCGCCTTATGGCTAACGACAAAACTCAGAAGGGCAGTCAAATGCCATGTACATGGATCCATACTTCCCAAACATAGGACATGGCTTTTGCAAAGTATCAGAAATAAAATGGCAATATTATATATTGACAACTTAAACAAAAAAAACTTGTAAACGTAAAAAAAAATAGATAGATGACGTTTTTTTTTTTGCACATGCGGGTGTGTCTTCTAATTCTCATCACATAAGCAAGGGGAAGTCACCCTCTTGCCACACTGAGTATATCACCTTTGATTCTATCATTGAAACAGGGTGCATGTTAGGCATTGGATGTTCACTCCATAAGGAGTTCGGAAAAGGCGAAAGCAGAGGTTGGTAGTCCAGCAAAGGGATGCGATCGTGCTGCAAGACAAGGGGTTGCAACAACTGTAATGTTGCACTCTGCATCTGATGGTCCAACTTGCATTTCCACAAGAAGGATACAAGCGCAGCCCGCTCCAGTACCCACACCTCTAAATTGTCCTCCATCGCAACGACGCTGTGAGTCCACCGGTGACGTCGCACACAGGTGTAGCCAATAGTGTGCCCCAATGGGATCGGAAAAACTTCTTTTGTGGAAAGACAACTCAAGTCGACCTCCCCGCTACAGGCATCTGCGAAAGGGTTTTGAGCCCGAACCTCCTTTTGAAATTGATTCTCGTCAAGAATAATCCCCGCACGACCATCGCAGAAGTAAAGTAAACGATTGCACTCCTCACCACGTCGAACCACAAAATCTCCCTTGTCGAAGATGTGGCACCTCCAGTAAACGCTAAGATCCCCAAGATCCTCCTCCTTGACAACAAGCCCTAGTAATGGAATACGCTTCATGACCTTGACAAAACCTGATGGGTCACTGCGGACAAGTAATGAAAAATTGGGAGGACTCGTGGCCTCAGTTCGAGCGTTAGCGGCCCGGCATTTTGTCGGACTCAAAGTTCGCTCAACTGAAAAGAATGCGCTGGAGTCTAAGTTGTCTGCGTTAGAACTTCGACGCCTCGAAGACAAGTTGTTCCCACTGCCCTTATTGATGGGTGAAAAGTGAAGGTTTTCCAGCTCGGACATGATGTTCTGACGCTTAGCCGCGGATCTCATGAAAGCAATATCCACTCCGCTCAAACTGAAAGAAAGCGACGGAACTTCCTTCGCGTCCAGTTTGCTTAAAACCGAAGCAGCAATGATAACAGCCTTGTGCGCCGCAGGCCACTGTTTCATAAGCCGAATTAACATATCAAAGCGTAAGACATACATATCGATGTGGTTTACAGCGTAGAATAGGTCGCCAAGGCTTTCCCGGGAGATGCACTGCACCTCGCCGAAGGTGTGGCCTTCAGTTAAGAGGGTGCGACTTTTCGGACAAGAAGAGGAAAAAGCCTCGACTATATTGCGATTCTCATGCTCCACGCACACAATTCCGCGGCGGATAAAAAAAATGTGCTTCAGGTCCGTGCTCTCATTGCATAGCATGCCAGCAGCATACACCTTGGGGACTAGATATTCTCGCAGGTGATTGACATCTTCTGGCTTCAAACGAGATAGAAATGGGCAAACGCAAAGCCTTTCTCTGGTCATGGGCGCAAAGTAGGGCATAAGAAGCTCCCGTTGCTTGAGCGCGTGCGTGAGAAGTCGCCGCTGGGAATTTAAAGGTAACACGGTGATGATTCGACAGTAAGCATCGAAAGGTAGGCTGGCGATGAGCGCCCACTCCGACTGCACCACGACCTCCGCACAAAAAGGAAATCCGCCGATGCAGGCACTCTCGCCGAGCACCGATGGAGCGGACAACAAATCTCTATGTATAACATAGTCCACGGGGAAAAGTTTACTCCGCCACCTCTGAGATGTTGCTTGTTTATCGATGCTACCGTGCAGAGAATGTGAGGAATCCATGAGTCCCTTAGTACTCAATTCAGGCTGCAGGGTTGCATGTCGTCCCGATGCATCAATGCCCGAAATCGAGGGAACACTTTGCAACGAAGTCGTAGAAGGAGAAAACAGCGACGGCTTCGAGAGGGATTTGGACCAAAACCCGGAGTGAGAGTCGTTACTTCCAACTTTATGAGGCATGACGCGCTCAAGCGAGCCCTTCAATAGAATGAGTACCTCGTGAGCTGGCTCCATTGGCCACTGCACCACCTCGCCTTTCAAGTACGCCCGGAAAGTGAAGTCGCACTCTACGGCGTTTGAGACTACCTCCCTGACTGTTTTGGCGGCCTTCGCCTGAGCCTGCGAAAATGAAGAGGACAAAGACTCCTTCTTCGCGATTGGCTCGGTTCCGGAAAAGTTAAATCTCGTTAAACTCGCTAATGGCGGTGATGAGATGATGGGAGGTAACATTATGGAAGATGGAGTATTCTCTACGCTTACCTTATTCAAATCTGCCTCCTGGTCTTGAGGAACTCCGTCCGGATCGTCTCTGACATTGCTTACCTCGCTTATATGAACCTTTGGTGAGCCCTTCCCTACTGATTCAGCCACAGCTGGGGTATGGAGGAACGGAGTAACCTGGGTTATGTCTGACTTGTAAAGGATCACTTGCTCAGAAAATTCATTGGCACTTTTCCCTGGAAAGTGATTGCGAATAAGCGATTTAAGTAGCTTCCTACGAGCTCGCTTTCCTCGCCAACGTTTCATTAATGGGACAAAGAGACGCTGAAGGATGCTAATGGCTAGTTGCTCAAGTTTATGCCGCATTTCGTCAGAGTAACCCCACTCACGAATTTGCTTATTTGTTGGAATAAATGGAGTAAATGTGGATAGCATGGTTTCCAATATTACATAATAAGAAAAGTCGTTCTGGCACAATCGCAAAATGTATTCGCTCTATAGATCACACTATCTTCTCTCTCCTTATATATATATATATATATATATATATTTATATTTATATTGAGGGGCTAAGAGAAACAAGAAAAAGCGATGAATACATTTCATCTAGTGCTGGGAAAAAACTTAGTAGGGAAAGGTGCAAGCAAAATTTTGCCTGGCGGCAGCTCAATACGCATTTCCCTTTTTCAGCATTTACATGAATCTTTCAATATTTTCCAAAGTGAATATATAATAGCATTCCACTTTAATATTTAGAAACTTATGAAATAGTTATTACAAATTTATGCATTTTTATCAACAGACCCAATCCACTTCTCTAGAGGAGGATGAAAATATATGAACTTTCTATTTTGTAAACAATATATAAACTTAATGTGAAATATAAACACAGACAAGAAACACTATGATGACATTCCCAATAAAGCATTCATAACACATGTCATTGAAGGAATTTGGGAAACAAGAGTAAAATCACTAGTATGTTAGTTGAGCCAAGATGATGCAAGCATGCACAAATAAGAATATTTAGCACTGCTTAGAAATAAAAAGCTCCGCTTCTTGCTTTGCGACAAGCATTTTTAGTATTTAATATGTCTAAATGAGGACAATCCACATGTCCTCTATGAAAAGAGTTTTCCCAACACAAAATTTAGAATATTAATCGATATTTCACAGCAAATAGGAAAACACGATAATGGTAACCAAAATAAGCACAACAGCATGTAAAAGATGTATTGGATCTAAGCTAAAACAATAGAAGGAATTGGAAAAAATCGATGAATATAACGACGAAAGCTTGTTTATTAACACATTATCTATGCAGATTAATTATGTTCAACAAATTAGTTTTCCGGCTAAGATAAAATCCTCCACTATTGATTCCTTTCTATTCGTCAAGATATGTCTTGATGACTGGGGTTTGACTACATATTCTTTGACGTTTGGGTGTGGAAGATACGTCAGGCATGTCGGACATCCTTGTATCCGCAATTAGGGGCGCATCGTAGGAACCTTCCCTAGGGTGCTTGATTGCGCGCACCGGGGTTTCGATGCGACTAACACTACACGCTTTTTCTTTCATCGTCATCATGCTTTTAAAAGCAAAAACAAGGGTGTTAAAATCACTAATGTTGAGGGGCATTCGTGAGACTGCTATCACGCGGAATTTCCCTCGAACACCGAGCGCGTCAGGAGCAACGTGGTCATCTGTAAAGAGAAATGGCTCCTCTAAATGATTACGTGGGTTGAAAAAATGAATACGACTAAGGGGATCCGCATTGCCTAGATCCTTGGATGCTTTGAAAATGATTAGTTTCAGAATTGCGATGGGGCAAATACCAGTTTCCTTCTCCCACTTCTGCATCCGACCCCTTAAATCGGAATTTCTTACAGCTGAAATGAGATCAGATGCTGAAACTGCCTCAGTTTCCGCAATGGAGCTAGCAGTGTAGTAGCCTAAAGATTTATAAATACAGCGACAGTGGATTCTATCTAGAATATCACGAGCTTGCTTCAGATTAGGTTGTGTACTATAGCGAATCGCGTTCAGTATCCAATCTCCGGTTTTCAGATACGCTTCCGGGTGGTCAACAATCTCGCTGAGTCGGTACTCTTTCCCCTCATGATTGATCCTGAAGAACTCATCGGCCGACACAAATGCATCGAGAGTCATCTGATCCATAACTTGAGTAACACGGTGCTGATAGACAAGCTCGAAGAGGCGCACACGATTGATAAAAACCTCTTCAATAGTTCCATACAGCTTGCTCAGGTAACAAATGTGTGTCTCCCCCTCGCTCTCTTGCACATACGCCCCTTGAAACATGCGCTCAAGCGACGACAGGGCGCACGAACCAAAACAACTTAGTGAATCCCGTTGAATATAGTCTAGCTTGTCTACATCCAGGCCGCTGCTCCTGTTCGCGATGATGTCTGCCATAAAACGCCTCTTAGCCGGGCGACCCACGTCGAACTCTGGCCATGGTTCCTTTGGCGGCAACCCACGAATGAGCAGCTCCACAAACCGCAGGTCTTTGTCGTTAAGATCAAACTCCTCTAACTCATTCTGCCGGTCACGCCAGATCGTACGCAGCATTAGAACACTTGCTTCCTCGTGAGACCACTCACGCATGCCCTTCGGTTTGCGGATCGTGTTCACATATTTTTCAAACATGTGCGAGAGCGGTCCGTGGCCGAGATCATGGCAAAGTCCGGCGATCCCTACACACCACAAGTCTTTAATGTCTTCCTCGTCTGAGATATCCAGTAGCGCCGGCGGTAATGATTTTTCAGCCTGGTTTATAAAAATTTGCTTGAGAAAGTGCATGCCGAGGTGTGATACACCAAGGCAGTGCTCAAAACGAGTGTGAGTCGTGCTTGGATATACGTAGTGGGAGTTGCCTAGCTGCTTAAGGTCCCTCAAACGCTGCACCTGTGGGCTATCTATAAAAAGACCAATTACGGGAGGAAAAATGATCTGACCATACACTCGGTCGAAGATCTCCTTTCGACGTAATACCTTACCCGTGCCTACGTCTTGGAATTCCTGTGTTGGCGGGTAGAAGGAGTGAGAATCAAACGAGATTGATTGTGACCCCCCACATGATGACACCTCCTGCATCCCGTTGTTCATCATTCCAATATTCCAAACCGAATGATCTTGTATGAGTGCGTTTGGTTTTTGCCCCTCCTCAGGTTCAGGAATGCAATCAATTTCAAAAATGTATAACCTTTATCCGAATACTTTTCGATCAACTTCCTTTTCACAATGTTGTAATGGATGTCTGTGAACTATTCTGCTATATGACAAAACTCATGTTCACAGTGTGATTGCATCGAATTCAGAAAAGGAAGAAAACAAAACATTTCCGAATCCCCCGTGAGTTAAGAAATATATAGGAAGAAAATGCTATTTTTAGTGTAGAACATCATACTCAATGATCAAAGATCCAACTAAAAGCATGAAAAATGACTGACCATCCAAGGTTAGGAGCTCAGGAATAAACAGAATACAAAGCGTTGCATGAAAATTTCGAATAGTGTTTTTTGGATGTTCTGTTGAGCTTTATATATTCATGAGCACACTTCCGTCAGGAAAACAGAATCCAACCTAGGCCCCCGCATTTCTGCTCCTCGTGATAACGAAGCCAACGGATCGGGCACAAAGTGACGCTTTACCTGCTACCGAAGCGTGGTGGCAGCGCATCCTTGAGCACTAACCCTCCTCAAGGGAGATCCAGGTACTTTTTCCTTGGCGGCCTTCGGATCGCCCGACGGAATGTGAGTCTTTTGTTTCTTGATTGAATACACCACGTTTTCTTTCCGAACAGCAGTCGCTGGAGAAGGCAAAGGCGTCACCACGGCAGCCGTCTCGCGTTGTGCTACGTCATGGACCGCATCTTGGCTCGTACTATCCTTCAATGGGGTGTTTTCAACCGAAGGAAGCTGTTGTGCTGCGACGGCCATTACGAGCCTGGAATACCTTTTCTGGAGCTTGGCTATCTGCCGCTGCAGGGTCCGGTGCTTATTCCAATTGGTATCCTCGCCTGGAAACACTACAGCATCGCCACTTGCGACGCGGCGAAACACCTCCCCCTCCACCTTCCGCTGACGTTGGTCGGCGATCCTGGCTTGCTGGAGTTTCGAATGGCAAATAAACTGCCGCAGGGAAAGCTCCCACGCCACCTCGCGTTGGTAGTCCCTCCGAAGATTCACACTTCGCCGCCAGCCCCGCTCCGCCCGACGGAGCGCCTTCTGCTCGCACTGAATCCGCTCCTTCATCATGTCAATCTGGGCGTTCACAAACGATAACTCCGCCCGGGCGTTTCGATGCTGCTCCGTAAGGCGATTGTTCGACTCCCGCAGCCGATGAACCTCGTGAAGGAGCTGATCGATGAGGGCTTCCAGGTCCCCTACCTCCTCCTGAACGGGATCGCCGCCCTCACGGTGAGGGTCGCTCTGGAGGAGAGGGATGCCCGCCCTATCCCAACCCCCCTCCTCAGCTTCTCGCGTGTGTGGCTGAACGGATGAGAAGGTGTGGGAAGGAAGGTTGCTGCTCACCAGCGGCGTCGCCACGTACGGACTCTTCAAGGCCTCCGCCGGGGGGGTTCTCCCCTCCCCGCTCATCCGAGGACGCACCCCCTGCCGCGATGCTCCTCTGCCGTGGAAAGCCCGTAAAAGGGAAAAGGGATGAGACGGGCTGGAAGCCGCGATGGGATGGGGCGCATGGCGGGCTTCTGGGGAAGGCCCGTTGGGGGAGGGGCCGCTCTTCCGTGCGGACGCATGGGCCGGTCGAAGCGGTGTCTTGATCTCGTGAATCGTAGGGGTTGCTTTTTTCACCTCATGAACCCGGTAAATTTCCTTAAGGAACTCGAGTCCGGTGAGGCCGCGGTGGGATCGAAAATTCGCCGGCACGACCAAAGAGGAGCGGCCGTCTCGGGGGGTCGAACGTTTAGAATGCATCCGTACATACCCTGGATGGGTAAGACTATTGGAAATAATGTTACCATGGCTGTCTTTTGGAGGATTCAAATAGGACTTCCAAGGTTGGTCCGCTGCAGGAAGGCGACGATCCTTGGATGGCGCCATCGGTGGTCTAGAAAACTCTGGACTATCGTAGGGATGTGTCCTGCTGGGCGCCGACAGGTTCGTTCGAGGGTCATCCTCGTCAACGGCTTGTGGCAATTCTGCACTTAACTCTGAGGTTAGTGAGAGGCCTGAATTTGACAATGTCGATGGAGAAGGGGTATGCACATTGCTATCCAATCTCAAGGTAGTAAAATTAGGAATCATCTTGGGCTCACTCAAGGCCTGCTTTCCCTTCACTGCTGAGGTTGGGGTTGCCTTGGTATGATTTTCAGTGAAGAGGGCTCGATAAAGGCGCTCCTTGCGCTTCCGATGAAATGTGATCAATGAATTTTTGTGTTGCATCCCTTGGGCATCCACCTGTCGGGTCTTAGTAATCGGTCCTTGAAGCCCCATGCCCGGCTTCGAGGAAGCCCAATGCGAATAATTAACGGCACTGTCTTCCTCATTGCTTTCAACCCGCCCTCCTTCACATGCATCTATTTCGACTAACTTATTGGCACCAACCATCATCGCATGAAGAGAATCTTAAAAAACTTCTTCCTTGGTGTATTTGCTAGTTTTCCTCTGGTATGACTGGATCAAGATACACATCTGGTGGAACTAAAAGTAAAAACAGAATTAAAGAAGAGGGAAGAAAAATGGCAACTTTACAAACCAATGCATCGAGCCAGTGAAGGTAGTAAGTACAATCTACAAGCTTACTACATCAGTTAAATGCACGATTTCGGTTTTGCACAAATGGATAGGGAAGCTTCCTCAATCCGTGCCTCCAAAAAAAAAAATGTATAAAGAAAAATAGTTAAACGTTCACATGAGTTTACTATTTGTAATTTACATCAGTTCTACAAACGAGGTAACGGTCACAAGACGAAAATGAAATCACATAATGGGAAAAGCGACCAAATAAATCGAGAAAAAAGTTCATATAATATAAGAGAAAACAATAACAACATGCTCGATAAAGTTTAAAGAACAAAGGAGAAAATACCGCAGGAAGTCCTCCCTTTATATGACTGGGCAATTGTGTACTTGAACATCAAAAAGAAAGGAAGATACGCTTTACGCGAACTGCCGCCTTTCAATTGACCCTACTATCTTCAGATTCGTCAGGTTGTTCGTTGTCAGGTTGTCCATCGTCAGGTTGTTCGTCGTCAGACTGTCCGCCGTCACGGTCGTCATGTGCGAGGCCACCCATAATAACTAATGGATCCGCCTTTAGCTGAGCTCGTATTTTGACAACCTCAGATGCTACAGCACTGTTCTTCTCGTTGAGATGCACAGAGAGGTAGTATAGATGCTTCAGTTCCTTATCCAAAGCCGCGATATCAGCCTTCAAAGCCTCCGTATACTTGGCCAAATGCTTCGGAGATGATGATGAATCCGAGCTCGAGACGCTTGGCATGCTAAATGATATTCTTCTACCATCCTTGTCATTCTTATTTTTTAAGGAGTTATTGATGTCCGTTGTAGGTTCATTCAAATGCATTGGAACATCTAGGCTTGGTTGTGGCAAGGGAGTCTTGGTGTCATCACTAGGTTTCACTTGCTCAGGCGCATCATCGCTCTCTGATTTTTGGCCCTGAACTGCCTTGTAGAAAACGACTTCCTTTTCTAATGGGTTCATAGCACGCGGCATGCGCTGCAAATAGGACAGCTGCTCATCCAGGAAGTTTAACTCGGAGTGATAAGTCTCATAGCGAAAGGCGACACGGATATCCGAGACGCGACTCTTGCGAACATCATTACCCAGCGTAGAGCGAAGTTGATAGAGTGGCCCCAAGGCTTTCACTTTCCATGCTGTAGGAAAACCGCACTGTAACACACTGTTCCGTGCAATCTCTGAGAGATCATTATACTCTAGCCGCCAAAGTTTCGCGGCTATAAAGTACTCCTCCATCAGAGGCTCTCGCGTGAAATGAAAATAAAGGGGCTTATTTGTTGCCAAGCTTACATTCAACCCGCGATGGAAGTAAGTGGGAAAAGGGTTTTCGAGATAGCCACACACGTTGGCGGTGTTACTGAGTGGTGACATGGCGATACCCAGCTGGCTTAGATAATACATATACTCCAGCACGGGATGTTTGGCTAGGGTTACGCCATGATTGATCCCGTTCGCAAGCAAAAAGCCACCAATAAGGTGCTCCATGCTGCCTTGCTCACCGCATTGAGGGCGGAAGGTAAATGTGCCCAGTCCGCGCGATGCACGGAACTCGTTCAGCGACGTGATGTTCGCCCACAGATAGTATAGATAAAAGTTATACGGCGGGTTCAGATCACTGCGCCAGTGGTATGGATAGACGCTAGTCAGCGGCAAATCAACCTTTGACTCATCCTCGACACAGTCAAACCCCGTAACATAGGCTAAAAAGTAGTGTAATTTGGAGTTCTTTGCGGGATGTAGGCTGACCTCCCAAAGGGGCCTAAAGATATTATCAAGGAACTTCCCAAAGCTTTCGACCTTTCCTTCTTGCCGCAGCCGGCGATATTGCCGAGGTATGCTAACCACCCATCGACAGAGAGAGCTTGCCATACCATAGCGGTCGAACCATGCCGCAAGGTTTTGCCACTCGTCATGTGAGGCACCACTCAGCATGAGGCGACTCTCCACAAAGGTAAAGGCATCCTCCTGAAATAGTTGGAGAGTTTTTTTGGTTAACTCTGCAAAGTAGCGCCCTTGCATAAAGTTGTGCGGGGATAAGAAAATGTCATGCAGGTCATCGTGTGTGTTGATCTGATGCTGTAACTCATCGACGGTGATCTGGTCGACGCTGATCTTGTAGCGGCTAAGCAGCTGTCTCAGCGTAATGGGGACCTCATTCTCCTCAAAGACAACGTCGTCGCCGTGGTTGTAGGCTTTATCCACAAAAAACTCCAGCATTGTTCGAGCATTGTGCCCCGCATTCGTCTGAACGTTTGTGTCCACCTTGTGTGCAGTGAAAAAATCTCGATTGTTCCATGACTTTTCCTCCTTCGCACCGGCCTCGTTGAAAATATTCATCGACAGATGCAGCAAAAACTTGCGCTCCAGGAGATTGAGGCGGTGAACAGCGAGGCACTGAAGAGATCTCGCGCTCACGGCGCGTCGGATACTCTCAACATCATGAATGAACTCCTGCACCGTCGGGATGAAGGTCGGCCACGTGGTGCTCTTGCCAACACGAGAGAGCAAAAACACATCATAGTACCTGTTGTACTCCCAGTTTTCTTCGTCGAGTTGGTTGGAACGAGTGAAAACCTCTTCGACGCTGGTTTCTACCTGGTTGGCGAAATTGTTATACTTCCCCCGGAGTGAGATCGAATGACGCAACATCTGGACCGACTCTCTGATTTTGGGGTTCCGTCTAGATGAATCGCTATCGCTGTAAATATCTATTCGGGGATATACTATGCGCTTATCCATGTAATTTACGCGCAGAAAAGAATTGAGATGCTGGAGATCGGGCGTGTGCAGGGCTGCTGCCCCGGCCAATACCTGATGTCCAGACGCATCGCTTAGCGCGCGGATGGAGAATGGTTGCTTTCCTTTCCGCTTCGCCACGCAATCCAACATCGACTGCAGCAATGCCTCTTCGTGCAGGAAGCTCTCCACACGGAACTGCAGGCGGTAGCGGCAGACGTTCGTGCGCGACATCTCGTTGTCAACACTCCCCAGCGAGGAGTGGTGAGTGCCCAACCATTGCCGCTTGGTAGACTCGGGGAAGCTGCTGTTTAAAACGCTGTTCCGCGCCAGCTCGCACATATCCATCGGGCTTAACGAGCGAAGCTTCATCAACGTCGCGTACTCCTCCAGCAGCGGCTGCTCCTGGCGGTGGTGGAAGTACAGCGGCTCAAAAGTGCAAAGAGAGACTAAAAGACCTTGATGAAAGTATTTCACGAAGGAATGGTCGAAATAGGAGACCCGGAGCGCGTTATCCCGCAACGGCGACATGACGACCCCGATGCGACAGATCATGAAAAGATACTGCATAATCCAACTCTTCTCCAACGACGACGCGTGATAGACAACGTCTCCGAGCAAAAAGCCGCAGACAAGCTGATCGAACATGGGAGCCAGTGCGTTGACAGCCGGATTGAATTTCAACGTTTCCAGGCCGACACGAGTGCGCAGGGCGTTTAGCACGGAAACGTTTGCCCAAACGTAGTAAAAAAAGTAGTAATCGCTCACCGGGGCATCGTACGGAATGGTATCAGGAGAGCGTGGGGTAGCGAGCAGTCCCTGAGCGCAGGGCGCGACTCCTGTCTGGACGCTGATAGCGCCTGTACAGTCTAACATTTGTGCGATATCGGCCCACCTCGGGTCTGTCGGGTAGAGCGTCGCTAACATCAAGGGTTGGAAAAAGTTCTGAAGCTGATCCCCGACCGTTTGGCAGGTGATCTGTAGACTACCCGATGTCTCCGTGGGTGGTCTTTCTCGACAAAAGTTAAGAATCCAACGATTGTTCGCAAACTTATTGAAGCCCTGCCGACGCATCCACGCCGCCAGCTGCCTCATCTCATCTGGGTGATGGCCATACAGTTCTATTAGCATCTCCGTCGCAACAATCTGTTTAGTCTTGTACTCGTTATCCTCAAGCTCGGCACGGATCAGAGCACCACAGAGATCCCCCTGATTGGGGCCACTGGTAGACCACACGGCTTGTAGAAGCGTGGATCCAAACTTGCCGGCAGGATTGAGGCTCTCATCGAACATATCGTAAGGGATAAACTTGTTCCGGTAGAGCGTTGGGTGCAAACCGAGCCCCTCGATGGTGAGCTCTTGAGCGTTTGTCACGCCACCAAGCTGCAGATATTCTTTGATGGACACTACTTCGTCAGTTTCCCGATCCACGATAAGGGGTGTGCGGGGTTGTTCAATTGCGGTGCGCACGATCGAATTCAGTAAAACAGAAGCCGTCACAGACCACTTCAAGCGTACCGCATTGTCCACATGAGCACATCGCGCGTACACACCACCGCCCTTCTGGTACATATCATAGTTGCACTCCAACTCTCCGTTAAGAAGAAGATAAAGCTGAGTTTTTTCCGCGAGCGTGGTCAGACGAGTGCGGGCGGTGGAGAGGCAAGGACCGAACTCGATTGCCTGGTATACGAGACGCATATCGTTGATATATTGCTGCCACGGAATTACGCAGGATGCCATATCCTTGAAGCTGTAGAGTCCGCCCTCAAAGACCAAGAAGTTGCCGCATCCGTCTGTTAAGGGTGCGTTAGTTGACCATGATGAATTGGAAAGAGCAGGGGAACTCGTCTGGTGATGATGCTTTTCGGAAACCCCATCAATATCAGCACCGTTCAGCTCAGATTTGCATGGCACTGCTTTAGTATCATACAACGAAAACGGTACGGCCTCCCCCGGGGCGGTCTGCAAGGCTTCAATATCATTGACTAGGCATGCTCTGTTTTGCAATGTCTGCGATATACTGTTGGCTTCCGATGGCGGTAGCGATAGATTAAGAATCTTTTTAAACTCATTCAAACTAAAAGGCACCACCTTCTGGCCCTTGTCAATACTTTTGTACGCATTACGTGCTTGAATGAGCTGCGCGATGAGCTCGGCACAACTAATGAACTCGGTATCCCCCTCGTCTCCTTTGGTCACGATACGATGGTAGGTCGGAGTGGGCTGGGATCGGCTTCTGGCGCGACGGGCAGCCTGCGGGGAATCAGATGAGCGTGAGTTTAAAATGCCATCCTCAGCAATCACGTTATTTTTATCGGTGCTTGATCGGGCTTTTAATGAATTTGACAATTTCTTCTCACTTCTCTTCGCATCGATATGCAGAGTATTTTTATTGTTATTTACTCTATCGAGCTCGCAGTTGTCGGGTCGGTTGCTGCCACCAAGGGAAAGCATGTGGGTGATAAGACGGTTTGGTGCCCCTAAGGTGCCTTTTGGTCCATCGTCACCTGCTGGATGCGCACTAGAACTCACATGCATAGCAGAAATACGCAGGGCAAAAATTCTAAAACCTAAAGTTACAATGATGGCAAATCAATAAGGAAAAACATTATGTAGAAGTTTTCAAAATAAAGGCAGCTATATGAAGTGGATCAGTAATGTTTGGTCACACACGTATCTTTTTTCCCGATCCCACGCGTCCACCTATCTTAAGAAATGGACATGGTAAGAAGATCTCCTAAATACCATTACAGGACATGCATAGCTTTTGCCATTCGTTAAAATCCTCTGGAAGACAAAGTATTTAAACGTCATGACAGTAAAAACAAAGACCTGAAATCCTTAGGAATGAGGATAATAACAACGCTACAGGGGAATATGACGTTGATACGTTCCTTGAAGACCAAGTAATGATCATAAGCCCAATGATATGACAACTAAAGCCTACAGTACACACACGAAATAATCCACTACATTACAAGTTTTTGCGTCTTTTTCGGTGATAAGTATCGGCTACAAAGCGGGCATTAATGAAAGTCATCAAAAACAACGGTAAAAGAATAACAATATGGCATGTTAACACATAATCCAAAGGATAAAACTGATCTGGAGCATGTAGCGGATGAAATTGAAGGTCATCAGCGGCTCGTGCAGCTAACACAAATTCCCGCCGCTCAACCAACTGTTGGAGCCGGGTGAAAAGACCCCTCAGTTTAATATGACTGTACATGTCTACTCTATCCCTTATGGAATCGCGTAACGCCCGGAGCGAGCGCATGGCATGAAAACACCCAGCTTGATTGCGCAACTGATGCCATACCTTGATATCGTTAGGACGAAATGAGTCAATCGATAGACTCGCCGCCAACACCGAAGCAATCCCTGCAGTTATATGCTTCTCCATCAATCCAACATGACGCTGCATGTCGTCGGAAACACTATTGCTGTCCACCCTGCTTTGGTCCTGAGTGTCAACAAGTACGACACAGAACGACTGGAAAACATCAAGGCTGTGGCACCAGATGGGATTTGCCTGGGGATCTTGTACAAAGCCAAAAAGCTTAGACGGCAAGCTAAAAATACTAAGCGCAATCATTTGCATCTCCTTGCTGAGGTCTGGGTTGAAGACATGCTTAAAAGTCGGCAGACCCATCTGCTGTGACCGCGCGTGCTTACTTAAGACCTTAATGGCATCTGACCGGGTTTGGAATACACCTGAGTCAGAAGTTTTGAAATCTACTAACATGTTTTTCTCACGAGTATTTGCCTGCAAATGCACAAAGGAATAAATATACCTCTTTTGCTTCATTGTTTCGCTTAATTCTCCATGGCTCGGAGATGCTTCAACCATGCGCTTGTCAATACGTTTCAGGATATTGTGCACCATGGGCAACATGCTGGATTCGTCAACCCAAACACCCACACCAAAAGTCGCAGGTGGCAGTGTAGTAACGTTCTCTCCTGGATGCAATCCTAAGCCATCCTCTTCGACCCTTTCTGTGCGACAGTAATCACTGAGCGACGCCAACAGGTCGTTGATTGGAAGTTCAATGTACCCCGACGAGAGCACAGTGTAGTAAACTCCAGCAAGAACAATAAACATGAAAAAGTAAAGAAAAAAAAAATGTGTTATGGATTTGCGGCGCCACGGCACCTCACGCTTGTGCACAGACACTGCGACAGAATGCTTTTTATAATTCCCTGAGCACATGTCTATGCTAAACCTTTGTTATGAAATGTAACTTATTTCCTACAATGGGAAGCCTCCTTGAGTATTACGTGTTGTATGGAGGTTTAAATGGTAAAAAGGACATCAAACGGTGATTCAAAAACTAAACAGTGATCTAATATGCTTGTAAAAGTGAAGCATAGTACAGAATTTAAGAATAGATGATTTGCACGTTACATCCCTTTCCGTTGTATTGGTTGTGTATCGTGATCCTTTGGTCTGAGTTTAGTGGCATACTATGACACCTTCTCGTCATAGTCTTAGCATACGATTATGAATAAAAAAAATGGTGTCTTAACCGAATACAAACTATTAAACGAAAAGAAACTACCACTTCTCCAGAACAGTCCCATTATATGATCATTAAATCGCATTAAACGTCTTACGAACAAAAAAAATCGTACTAGCAGCCCCCACGTCAATAGCGGCGATGTCCCCCTCTTCCTCTATGTAAGGGGAATGCTGGGATATCAACTAGGGATAAAAAGAGTGGTTTTATGCGTCAACTGTGTAGCATCAGAACATGCCTTCTAGTGAACTTCAAAAAGGCCATATGAATGTCATACTGGTGTCTTCTAATAGTATACACAGAGGTGAGGGAGGGAGGCAGCGACCGGCAAATTTCTTGCGAAGCAGTTAGCAATAAATACTATGACCTTTTCCTTTCATCTGCCCGCTGATTTAGGTGGAAATCATTTTGTTAATGGTATTCCTGTGTTCGATTGTTGTCATTTTTGACTCTCTCAATCAAGCCCCTATGTCAGACCTCATACGAGAGATCTGCGCACGAAGGAATACATACACATCAATATGTATAGGACTGTATAACCCCAATTTCTTTATTAATAGTAAGTGTACATGTATTTCGTGCCCTATACGAATAGAAAACCCATTTCTAAGATGATGTGTAGCTGTATACAAAACGTGTCTTTCTTCAAACTTACCCATTTCTTCACACTTTTCAAATCCCTGATCGTTCTAAAGAATTAGAGCAGCTGAAGTCGCAGATCCTTGATGAGGTTACGAGTCGTCAAGGCCATCAATATGGCTTCCCCGGTCTCCGCCTAGGGAACTGGACAAAGCTCTTGCCGTTTGCGGAATGTGGCTTCGGTCCTTTTTTCTCAAGGCTGTAGGGCCCGGTCGGGTATGCCTTTTGGACCCCATGCGGGGTGGACGCGATAGAGGCGGCCCCCCCCAACTCAGGGCTGTCATCCGCCACCGTCCTATTCCACACCCAAAAAGCCAACAGGCCGTCCTCGCCGCCGGTGATGAGACGGTTGCCGATGCCCATTGCCATGCGACAGATTTCCCCGTGGGCCATCGGGCGCAGCTCGTGCTGTTCCTTGGTTTCAAAGTTCAGTACTGAAAGCGGGCCGGCATTGCCGTCGTCGTCGCGACGGCCGAGGACAAGGCAAAGCTGCCCACCAAGCACGCACCAATCTACTAAATAGGTTTGGAAATCGGGCCGCTCAAAGCGGGTTTCGGTCTTTTCCAAGTCAAACGGGTACAAGTATCCATTTTCGCAACTTCCGACCATCGACATCAGCCCGACCTCGCTCAGGCAACTCATCTTGTTGACTACCTCACCGCAGCATGTAGCCTGCAACAGGACGTCATCGTCACACACGGACGGGTCTGTGGTCATGAAATTGATCATCTGATCCTCCCCAGCGGAGCAAATGACATTATCGTTGAGGAACCGCACGCGGGACACCTCGTCCGTGTGCATCTTCTCAATGCACGACTTGGATTGCCAGGTTTTGCAATCGAGGAGGTGTATATCGCCGTCCGTGGCGATCGCCATGGTCTCGCCTGACGGGGAGATACTGATAGAGTTGCATGTGACGCCGGTACTTGCCATCTCAGTCAGGAAGTGCACTGCCTTGCCCTGCCGCAGGTCCGAGATCATAACCCCAGAGTCGCTCTGTGAGGAGTACAGCATGTGAGGATTGGCAGAGGTGGCCACAACATCAGTGATGGGTTTCGTGTGATCCGTCAGATCGAACAGAAAAGTCGTGGTTTGGGAGTCATAAAGGCGCAAGGTTTGTTGTGATGTCGAGAGGGCAATCGAGGAAGTGCCATTGCATAGGCAGCCGTCCAACACGTAACTGTTGGATGTATAAGATGTTTGTAAAGTTTGTAAGAGCCGCATTCAACACTAGTGTTCAGGTCTAACTAATAAAAAGAAAATATTTACTACAAACACATCCCCAATGGAACCGAGAAAAGTTTAGAAATGAATAGAGAACTCAAATAAAAGTAAATAACGTTAGAGCGCATGCTATGCAGAACGACTCTCTATCCTTTCCCACTCGCAAGAATGGCAACCTATAGCAGGTCCCTTCTGTGCATCCCTTATTTTGGATATCCATGCAATAAAACAGCCAAATAATGGATCAGAAGTCAGATGTAAAAAATGGATCGCCACCAACACGACAAGGCAATCCAAAATTCTGAATAACTCTCAAGTATCCCTCCTGTATCCCAGACTCAGCACTAGTCTTCCTCTATCCTAGTTACTACAAAGGTATAGAACGAGTATATACAACTACACGATCCTACAATACAAAGAAAGCTACAAGCTACAAAATGGGTTGAATTCAGTCAAAATCAAAAATAAGTTGCTGTGCAAAACGTTAAAGTGTAAAAAAGACAATAACACCGTCAATACTAAGAATTTTTATCTCGCTCCTGTTTACCAAAAACTTATCGAACTGGTGACGCACACTTCCCGCTACACACTCGCGTATCGGCATAAATGAAAAAGGTAGGAATGAAATTACAAATATTAACTATAATAGAATACTATATACTGATCTTGCTTAAATTTTAAACTCGTTCATACATTTCTGAAGTGCCGCGACACGAGACTGGCACATGAAATAATTGTTCCCATTTCCATTTAGGCATTTGTGAACTTCTTTCGAGAAGATCTTGCAAGGATGCACCTTTTGCTGACCATCTAAATACCGCTCCGGTTCATTGGAACCAAAAAAAGACGTCAAAAAAGAGCGGCGATACTGCAAGAAGACGTCCGGACCCCGAGCATGCCCGATGCTAGTAGCATGCGTGGACACACGGGCGTGCTTGGTTTCAATCGAATCACTGCTGTGAGCACTGGCCGATGTTGAGCTCCCATCGTTGCCCTCAATGCGCTCATAAGGTTCTGAATTCTTAGGCATCGGACTCATTCTATCGTAGGGATTGGATGCTTTCACGCCAAGTTCCCTTCCTAAACTTTGTTTTAATACTATACTACAACTAAAAATAATTTAAAATCACGGCTATTGTAATTCTATTGTCCTCTTCTCCTCCATCCTACCGTTCATTTAAGTCAAAAGACACACACAGCAGATTGTGTAAAGGTAGGCAAAGGAAAAAGAGCACAACTACGATGAACCGATCGTCTTTAAAAGGCGAACACGTAAAGCGCCCATGACTGTAAGATCAATGGCAAATTAAATGCATAACCGGTAAATTTTTATTTCACCAAGGCTTTATCTCCATTCACTTCGCTTCGGAGCTGTTGTGGGACCTGCTGGGAGTGGCAAAAAAATATTATTTTTTCACACTCATGTCGCAAAGGAATTAGACTCCTCAGAATATCTTCCCAATTATTTACAAAGGGAAGAGTAGGAGGAATATGGTGAATAAACTTAGTTCTGGGCTTTGAATACCCCAATACAAATAGCCTAAAATGTCAGAAATGCCCTACATCTGTACTACGAAAGAAGACAAAATAAAATCTGACGAGCAGCTTTCCTCCATCCCATGACTTGTCCCACTCGTATAAGACTGAGCTCAGTCCTCACTGTCTATTGACGGGCTCGAAAGAGTGCCGTTGGCATCAGTGCCTTTACATCGAATTGGTTCAAGAGTTTGGGCCCCCGTTTGTGGGGCCAACGTCTGCCGCAATAGTTCCTCAGACAGGGGTTTTACCCTACCGGAATTGCGCCGTGCACACGAAGCCATGGTCGACGACGGCAAAGAGGATGACTCTTTATCAATTCTATAGTTGCTTCCAAGATCTGAGGGGGTACAACACGAAATGCAAGGTGTCTTGGAGTCGTGTGGAGTGGATGCATTCACTGTGGTCTCACTCTGTTTTAACTCATTTAAAAGGCACGATCCTTGACGCTTTAACATCCTAAATCCTTGCGTCGCCATCCTCACGCAGCGCTTCTGGTCCAAAACTTGCAGCAGAGTGTCCTTCCACTGTCCTTCATCCAAAGGAAAGGCAGAAGCCACATAAAATCCTTCCAGTGGTTCGACTGGTAAAAACAGCCCTGGAAGTGATAGTGTTAATAAAAATTTTCCTGATTTGCAGCAGCTATCCTGGTTAGCGGCATCTGCTAAGTCGTAGAGTTCCTTTACTAAGTGCTGCTGCACAGCAGCCTCTTTCAGGAGCAGATCCTCCGCCACGAGTAGCCGCGAGTTCCTTTCCTTTAGAGACACTTCGGAACTCACTGTCTGAATGGCTACTGGACGTCGTTGGTTTTGAGCCGCATTGGGTCCTTCACCTTGGAAGGCATGGCATTGTGGTTTTAAGGAAAGAGATGGTCTGGAAAACGGTCTATATGGAGCTGTTGGAACATCAAGGTTCTCCGGCATAAGGCCCATTACACCTTCCTGAAAAACAGACCCGGTGCTTATGATCCGAGAGCGCCATATTACTCGACGAGAGCGCAACATCCGAGGAAAATTCATGTTAGAACCACACGGGAAGGTATCTAGATGGATTCTGAGAGAGCGACCCAGGGGGCACCATGAGATGGCCTCGCAGTCCTCTAGAATCCTCTGCAGGTAGCTAACCGTGGAGTTAAAGACGCAGAAGGGAAACGGCCTGCTGAGCTGTCGTCGCCACTCCGCGATGGCCTCAACCACAAGCAAGGTCGCATTCTGGTGTTCTTGGAGAATCAACAAGAACGACACCTGCGCTTGATCAAGAGCGCATTTCCCACTCTCGTACTGTTCGCACAAATCAATCACCTGAGAAATCAATTTTTCCCGGCTTGAAATGTGTTTCAATGCAGCCACTGTACGACGATAATGTTCCCTCAACGCAACAACAATGATCTTTAATGCACCCAGTAATACATTTACATCAATCTGCCCTTCCTCAGCTGCATCATTGGAATCACAGTACTTAGTGCGCTCACTACCACAGATTCGCCGTCGTAACTCACTCACAAAAAGCGTCTCATATAGCTCCCTCTCAATAAAGGGCAGATGAAGTACGGAGCTAAGGTGCTCATAAGAGCGAATAAGGGATTCTGAAAGATCATCAATACTGTACGTCATCCTATAGGAAATAATATCTGAAAAGGAGCCAAATCCTTCTCCCCCTCTTCTCTTTACATGACCAACTATCAACGCCTTTACTTCCTGAATAAAAGAAAATGAACTTCCCAGAAAGCCTTTGTGAATGGTCTAAAAACTGACAGATGCAGGCAGGAGGGAAGGGTATGTGCATAGAAAAACTTTGCTAGATCCATTTTTTCATTGACTTGTATCAATCATCCTTCCATATTCCAAAAATTTCAATACCAATACATACAATGCAAGTACACCAAGGAGTGCCTAAAGAAAAAAAAGTTTGTAAAAAGCATTAGAGAAATTGATTAATGGTGAAAAAAAAGAAAGAAAATGATTGAGGTGCCTCGAACCGTACACAACCCTTTTTTTCTACGATTTTATTTGATTTGTTGCTCTTTATAAATAGGACATCTTTACTGGAGATATTTGTCTAGGTAGAAATTTTCTGTCTGCCTAACTGGTTGGCAAAGTTGCTATTCTGCATTGGCGGCATGGCTCAGGATCTCATCAGCTGCCCTCCGAACTCGTTGTGCGGCCTTACTGTTGTCATAGTAGGTCTTACCGCATAGCATTTCATGCTCTTTGGCATCGTGAATACGAATGCGGATCCCACATATCCGACACGGTATAACGAGATGTAAAGCGCACTTATAGCAGGCCATGGCAAATGCATCGCGCTCCTCCTGGCTCGACGACGAAATCGGCACGTTCATGGTTGAAATACTCTCTATCTTCTCCCACACTGTCGATGGCATCGCATGCTCTTCCATGAGCACCTCAGTTGTTCTACGGCAGATCTCCATGTGCACATGGTAGGTTGTCGCATTGATCATCTCGCCACATAGATAGCACGGTAGCACACGACGAGTCTGCTGAATAATTCCCTGCAGCATCGAGCCTACCATTTCATTGGCTGAAAGCTGTTGGCGTGTACCAAGAGTGGACAGACGTCCCTTGGGATGACGATTAAGATCGGACGGGTACCCATTTTTGTCGCAAATGTTCTCCTTATTCATTTCAATGATGGAGGAATCTGCGGAGGGTATATGGTGGGTGATGGTGTTCGTGTCGGTGCGGCCACGAAGCTTGGATTGTGAAAACCCCACGGCATCCTTCCCCGTCGGGGTGTTGTTCAGGTTGCGCTTTCCATCGTTCACAAGGAAGCCCCCAAGTGGTGAGGCCACATCACTCTTTGCTCGAGCGGAACTCTTGGGTGTTGAGATGGGGGTCATGATGGAGGGATTCGCCCTCCCTTTCATCGACGTCGCGGAGCAAGAGGAGCGTGCTGAGAGAATGACGCTGGAGGATAAGTTCAGCGGAGTAGCCTTTGGAGGCAGCCCATCCGGCGTTGGATCTCCCATCGGCTCGGATGTTTCGGATTGAGAGGTGTCAAAATTCACCGAACTCTTCCGTTGCATAGTCTTGGGCGACGCTTTGCTCAATTTTATTGCCGAGGCGGGCTGTTTGGGGGTGACGTTGGAGGCAGCTGGAACCTCGCCGACGTGCACGTTCCCCTCCCGCCTGCTCGGGCGGGCCGCCACCGCCTTGCCCTTCACCACACTGCCTTTGGGACGCTCCTCGGTGGATAGTAGTCCCAACGAGCTCTGGCTAGAGTCCGACGTAGGAAGCAGTTTCCTCCGAGACGAAACGGGTTGGTTTAAGGAAGTGTCCTGAATGTTTTTCCGAGAAAGAAGTACGACGCTTATCGAGGGTGACTGGGAGTCCACCGGGGGAAAGGAGTTACAAGGGAATGGCTTCGCCAGAGCGGAGAGGTCGTATGAGAGCGAGTGGTCGCGAGGGGATACCAGGCAGCTGTTGGGCGCCGTTGGATTCGACGAACGAACCGACATTTTCGAAGTCTTGCTGTCGACACCCTTCGCCGGGGCGCGGTGCGAGGAAAAGAAGGTTGAAAACCGTGGACGACGATCTTGTAGAGAAGCCTCCGATGGATTTTTGCCGCTTCGCGACGTGCCAACGCGCGCACGTTCGACTGATTCGCCTTCGTTGCTGACGTCCATCCGCGCGCTGTCCTTGCGCTTGGCCCCAATGCTGGCTGTCATCTCATAAAGCGCAGACGAGGGTCGAATCCAAAAGGCAGTCTGGCTTCCATTCCCAGATATACGCTCCTCGTTCGGACCAGCCTGGTGAAGTTCGTTCAAGTTCTCCTCTTTGGTGCTTTTCCTAACCACCTGGCGCTTTGCAGCAGCAGCTTGGCCTGTCTTAAGAGCCTTCGATGGCCGTTGGAGCTCCTGTTCATCAGCGTGCGGAGGGCAGACGTTTTGGTCTGATAACGAGTTCCCCCCCACGGAGGAATTTAACGGGACGTCCAAATTCGCGTCGGACTTCAACAGCAAGTTGCTGCTATCCAAAGAATGCGTCCTGTCGTGGATGTTGTGGCGGCTCGTAATGGGTTCATAATCAGGCCGCATGGAATCGCGTTTGGGATTTGACGGGAACTCGATAGGCTCGGGTAAGGTGGGCGGCTGTGCATTTGGCTCTTTATGACTGGGCTTATGATCTGTGGTATCAAAAAGTTCCTTATCCGGCTCACCTGGACGCCGATCGTCATCTTTTGAAGGGACGTGAATGCCCCCTTCGGTTTTAGGGGCCAAACCCTGAAAAGATGCGGCGGAGGAATTGGAATCAGCCGCGCTCTGAGGCGCATCCTCTCGCATGCCTTCCACCTGCTTTGTGTAAGTTGTGAGCCTCCCTTTTGTAGAGCGCCGATCGTTATGCGAAGATGGAGATGTGTTGCCCGTTGAACCTGCTGTTGTTCGATGAATCACAGTTGCGGTGGTCGCGACGTCATTTATCTTGCTCCCATCTGCTGCCTTTTCTTGCGCGGCGAGGGGCTCTGAATGAGGCAGCGTCGACTCGGCGATACCGCTGTTTCTGGTCTTCACTGGCGTGCGACGCGCCTTGTTCACGAGAATTTTGTACCGTTCAAGTGCGCTGGTGCGATCACGCATGGCTTCCATCTGCTTTGAATAGTCCGCAGCCACGACGCGAACAACGGCAGAAGCGCTTTCTGGTTTATTCGAGTCATTCGAATGGAGCCTCCCAAAGGAACGTGGGTTTGGGTTGCCTTTGGTTACACCCGTAGAGGCCTCGCGTATGAGGTTATCATTAGGAGAGCAGCAAGCGCTGCTCTCGCTGCTGACAGTGTACAAACTCATAGAAAAAAAAGGTAGCAAAAAGGAGAAATATATCCTATTATGTCGCTTCTATGCGGCAACAATGACTGTGTAGTTATATTTATAAAATTTTGGACTCTTGGTGAAAATACAATTCTATCCTCTCTGGGCAATACAAAAGAAAAAAGTCTAGTAGTCGGAATTATCTAATAGGCTAAATCGTGAAAAGCAACACTAAACAAAACACTTGAGAAAGCCTAAACCTCCACTATGCGAATTTTGCTGCCTGAAACGTGAAATGAATGATACAAATAGTTTAGCTATGCAAAGTTTAGGATACTTTGGTGTTCCAAATAAACAATTGTGAGGGTGTTTCTTTGAATATTGCTGAAAAGCAAATAAAGATAAAATAATGCCAAACTAGCTGTATATAATTTCTAGTAAAAAAAAAAGGGTTATGTATAATTTGACAAGGGAAAACATACAGGATGAGAGAATATGAAAACAAAAGTAAATTGAACATTAATATCAGTAAAGTTTCTATTAATTTGCGTTCCTTATATATATATGACCTGATCTCTACCAATAGTCTTCCACACACATATTGAATGGCGTGAAAATAAGAAAGCAAAATTTGGGAACTTACACCCTACCTACATTAATCCTACCACTACAGCATACCCCTCTTCTCAACATACTAGATTAAGTGATTACTGGTTTATATGACTCTATCTCAGTCACATATATAAAGAACAAGGCAACAAATGAGAAAAGGAAGATAATACTGGTGACAAGAGCACTGACAAAAAGCTCAATTAAAATGCCTAGTAAGCACTTTTTTACACGACATTGCCCCCGTTTCGGTTTCATTTGATTCCCTCTCGAAAGCGCCTTTATCTTACCTCTCTCTTCACATCGTTGTAGGCTAACGACAGAGTTATTTAGAAACGGCGTAGTTAGCAGGATCCTGATATTCAATGTCGAAGAGATGAAAGCCCTTGTGAGGCTCGCTCCTGCCCATCACCCGATCCCAATCGAATCCAGGTAAGCTGACTGGCGCCCGGGAGTTGCGCTCGGCCGCGTACATCGCGCCGGCGAGATTTTGATCAAAGTGCTTGCACCACTTCTCAAAATACACATCCTCATCCACCAACGGGCCGCCAAAAAACTGGTAAATCGACCAGGCGAAAACCATACCCGATATCGTCCAGGCCACCCATCGCAGGTGGGGCGCGACGTCCATGTCTCCAAACCGCCCCGACATCTCACTCGCGCCGGCGTTCATCGGGTGATGCGCGTTCCAGCGGTGCAGCTTCGCATCGTCGTACCACATCACCTCCGGGTGAGTCCAGTGATCGTAGACAAGGGAGTTGTCGGGGTGGAAAAGGGGATTCGCGAGGGTGTAGGTACTCCACGGGGAGCCGTTGTTGCGGCGGAGGAAGTGAAAGTTGGCGTTCTCTCGGAGGTACTTTTGGGTCTGGCGCACCATCATATCACAGGTGGCGGGGTCCGTGACGTAGCGATACCGCTCAAATCGGCGGCGCACGACCTTGTAGGCTAGGTTGAGCTTATGCGCGTTAAGCTGGATCATCCACATCTGCAACTCTTTGAGGGCCCATCGATAGAGGCGGCAGACGCGCTGCTTGTGGGTGAGCCGAGGGTCGTCGATAATCGGGTCGATGTGGCGCACACAACCGGCGATATCATAGGTGTAGGCATCCAGCTTCCGCTCGTATTTGGGGTTGTCAAGGATACGCCAACCCTCATAATTTTGGAGAAGGGGTTCGTGCAGGTGCCATTCGTGGTACTCTTTCATCCCCCCGCTGAGGAAGATAACGCTACGTCGCATCATAACTACGGATCTATCTATATATCCAGCACGGTCGTGGCTCTAAACCAAGGGGTAAAATGTTTCGAAAAGTCAAATGCTAAAAGAATGCTACTCTTTTTCTTGCTAACTAAATACTATGCTACTAATAGTGTTAATGACCGTTATACTTATCTGTCTCTCTATACATACAGATATAGATGTAAATATAGAATAATAGATGAACACAAAAGTTTTGCCTTTTCGAATCAAACGTTTATTCTTCCCTTAGATTACCTTTCCCTCACCTGAACTAAGGGTTTATGTACTCCATCACTTCCATAGTACACCCTAGAAGAAGGAAATCAAAGAATAACCTAAAAACACAGCTGCCTGCAATACGTATGTAATGTCCTACGTTAACCAATTAGACAATAATTGTAAGCTCATTTTTTCAGGTTGGAATTACGGTGGGATAGTATGTACTTTAGAGGGTCCTCAAATCAAGAAGGTAAACAGCAAAGGTTGTACCTAGCTTCAAATAAGCGAACCAAAAGTCAACGAAGCAAAATATTTACATTTTACTCACCCACAACTCCTCTGAAAACACACAGTAAGCTAACCCGATAATGACTACACCATTAGATTCTCTTCCTTAAAACACGAAGCAAACAGAACAAATCTAAGGATATGAAATGAGATTATGCTACCAGATACCCTATTCCTAATAAGCTAAAGAGTAATAATATCTAACACATTACTATTCTACAAAAAAAAAAACTCTAATGTCTTTTTATACGCTTCAAGCTTTCCTTCTTACCAGAATTTCATCTCATGGTACTCCTGATTTGTTGCGCGCTTCCAGTGGCGCTCCGCCCAATGCCAATCCACAACATCAAAGAACTTGGATAAGTACTTTGCCCTATCATTTTCATAGTCGATGTAATAGGAATGTTCCCACACATCTACGCACAAGAGCGGGACGAGATCGTAATCCACTAGCGGGCAGCCCGCATTACTCAGCGAGATAATATCAAACACCTCCGCCTTTTTATCGTACACCCAGTAGGCCCACCCACTTCCAAATAAGTTGAGCGCAGCGGTAATAAACTTCTCCTCAAAAGCATCCAGCGATCCGTATTGCCCGCATATCGCTGCCAACAGATCTGGTGGAATGTTGCTGCCATACGGCTGAATGCACTTCCAAAAAAAGCTGTGGTTGAAGTGCTGCGCGGCGTTGTTGTAAATCCCAATAAGCCTAGAATCATTGTGGCTCTTTTTAATGAGTTCGTCTAGCTGCAAACCATACAAGGGGGTGCCCTCGATCAACTGATTCAGCTTCTCGACGTAGGCCCGGTGATGTCGACCATAATGAACACGAATCTGATATGATGAAAGCAGAGGCAAACAGCCCTTGTACCAAGGAAAGTCAAGTGTTGGTAAGTAGAAAAATCCTTGGGATTGAATATAATCCTCCGAACGGCGGATATACTCGTCGACGCGCCAGTATGTTGCCCGGTACTTCTCAACATATTGGTCAGGAACTCGTCCGGAACGATCTCGAAAATTGTTGTACTGCTCCATAAAGTTGAAGCGGCCGAGAGTAACGTCGGCTTTGGGGGTGTGCATAGAAAGGCCCGTACGGCCTTGCGCCTGCAAGGCAGCAGCACCAAGGTATTTCACCACAGATGGCGCGCTGACGACGCTGGGCAGAAAAGTACGCCGAACCATCTTGACAGGGGTTACTAAGGATGTCAAAATACAGCAAAAAAAGCAAATATATATATTAATAATGAGCTCCCTGCACGAAAATGTTGGTGAGCTTGAGGTACCAAATAAGGCAAGTGTATGTGGGTCGGGCAGCCAACGATTATGGGGCTCCTTTCCGTTTTCAGCGCTAGATTGCTACGATTTACCGTGTTAGAGATAATTTATAAGAAGAAAAAAAGAGGTTATATTAAGACAGAAAAAAAAAGGGAACATGACTCCTCCCTCTCTTTCTCCCCACCTCAACATGAAAAGATAATTTGACAGCAGTGACTGTTTATTCCACTTAACGGGCTATTTAAGTTATCAATTAATTTTTGAGTTATTCTTATATCCACACGCCTTAATTTAAGTCATAATCCTTAATCATCAAATGTTGCCTCGTGTATTCATACATGACGATCGCGCCTGTCACGTGCACATTCAAAGAGCGTATCAGCCCGTACTGTGGTACTTCGACGCACACATCCAGCAAGGGAATGATGGCGGCCGGAATCCCATGCCCCTCTGAACCAAGCACCACCACTGCGCGCGATGGGAACTGGTAACTTGCTATGGAGACGCTCCCAGACGTCTGCTCGATCCCAATCACCGTGTACCCTTCACGCTGCATCGAGGCAAGATAGCCTAGCAGATCCTTCGGACGTACCTCCTGCCAGGGAATCCACAATTCCGCGCTCCGAGCGGTCGCCACGAAATGCGGGTGCTCAAACACCTTTTGCTCTGGAATAATAATCCTCTCGACGGCGAAAATTTCGCCACAACGACATAACCCCGCAATGTTGACGGGGTTCTCGAGAAGACTGCCGACCACGACAAGGGATTGGCGCTGATGGTCGCCGTGCGCGGCGCGCGGGTGGAGCTGGTTGTAGACCTCGCTATTCCACCAGGAGGTGACTTTTTTCTGAATCTCTTCCTCGGACGCCTCGCAGCGATCGGGGCCGTCCGCATGGGGCCCGTCGCCTAACAAGAGCGAAGGGTCGGTCGTCAACAACTCCTTTACCTCCGCGGTGTAATCCAGGTAGCCATCCGCGAGGGTCTCCGCGTGGGGGATGTAGGGAAAATCTTTGAAGACACCAGTGAGGCAATGGTAGGCGGGATCCCGCGCCATCGGGGGCCCATCTACCGAAGAAGGAACAGAGGGGTAGGGGCCCCACGTGCGACGCCACCGTAGCCGGTCCGCTGGGTTCATAATACCCGTCAGACAACACGTTTCCGTCTCCAAAAAACGAATCCGCTCGAACATGGCGGCTGGAATACTCTCCCGCAGCATGGCATTACCGTCCTTCCGCACAATGCAAAAGATGTTGTGCGGCGTGCACGCTTCCTCAATGTTGTAAAAAAGGATCTCCTCGTACTTTTGCCTAAATTTGATATGATCCTCGGCGCCTGCGACGTACTCGAAGATTGCGTTAACGTCGTTCGGGATAGACTTCCCGAGAGCTCGACGGAGACGACAAACCCTAAAAAGCCCAATGTGGCTAATGATACGGAGTAAATGTTGGTTTGAGGTGCATTGCTGAAGAATTCGATGTAGAAGATCCTCGCAGAGACCAGGTACGACGGTGCGATCACCGCCCACTTGAGCCTCAAGCTCTTCCAGATGAAGCAAGACGTGGCAGGCGACGAGCACGTAGGTCCCGCAGGCCTGTGGGCGAAGGTTGTAGTTCCCTAAGGCGCTCACGACGAGGTGAGCTACGGCGGGCACGCGCTGGAGAAGCCTAATCGTGAAGAGCTCCATTAACCGACGCACGCTGCCGAGGTTGTTGATCGGCACACACTCCCGCAGAACCACCTCGAGCAGGGCGCCCACCCGGGCGTGATCGTCCACCGGGAGAAGGGGCAGCATAGAGCAGAGAAGCTGCCAGAGCCGAAGCCGCACGCGGTGCGTCCGGGAGTTCGGCATACAGGGCTCATGCGCCACCACCGGGTTCCGCGTATTCAAATGCAACAGCTCCAGGCAGAGCGCGTACGCCCGATCCGGGGCCTGGGCGCAGGTGTGAAGAATCGTGGAGAGCGCGAGGGCGCGGCCGACGGTGGAGAGCCGCACCGTTGGCGGGTACACCTCACGCAGCTCCTTCGGCCACCCCCACAGTAGCGGCTCCGTGACCGCCATCGTGGACTCCCCCTCCTCCTCGTCGCGGCCTGGGTTAAAAAAGACGGCGATGTGGAGGAGGGCCTCCTGGAGGGGTGGCCAGTGCCGCGGCGCATCGGCGAGAACCTGCAAGGACGCCGTCGATGCGGCAAAAAAAATAAACCGCTCCGACTCCACATCAGTCCCAAACATACGTTTGAGCGTCTGGGAAACAAGATGGGGGTGATGGGGCATGACGCGGTGAAGGGCGCTGAAAGCAATCGAGGAAACCCGCGCGTGCTCGCGCGCACCGACATCGCGAACGTGCTCAAACATCGTATTTAGGATCTCCGCATGGTCAACGAGGTTGGGGTCTGGGCAAGCAACCACCCAGGCAAGTATGTCATAAACCGCAGCGAGGTTTCCAGTCCAGCACTGCCCCACCTGCTCCATCCCAAAGCGCTCAAGATGCTGCACGATATCGTGATATGCCTGCTGGTCACCCACTACACGTTCGCATAAAATAGAAATCGTATTGTACACACAGCGGGAGTGCTCGGCTAGGAGGGCCTGGGGAGTGCTGTCGGAGAGGACGCACAGCGTCGTGATTGCGGGAGCGCGCTGCGTAAGGGAATCGGTCAGTTTTGTAATGAGAGACGCCGCCTTGCTTGGGTTTAGGCTCAGGAAGCAGCGAACCTCGTCGAATTCCGGCATCAGCTCTTTCAGGGCGTCATTCCCCAGCCATTGGCGGTCTCTCGGGAGGCAGACCAGGCCGTACAGGTTACTTTGGAGAAGACGAGATGCATTGCGGGCAAGGACGATGTGCGCCATCTGCTGAGCTACAAGCGCCTCATCGAGGTCAGTTGTTGAACCCACCACAACGTCCGTCCTATCCAGGACTGTAGAGTTCCTATAACGATTTTTGCGTTGATAATAGCGACCGAAGCACGCCCCACAGTTCTCGGCAAAATGGGTTAGTATGTGTATAGACTCAGATACTTTCAGTAACTCTTCTGCCTCATCTGTTGACTGCTTCAAGACGATTTCATAAATCATAACGACAGTTGCAGTAAGGACATCCCAATTAGCTGTGTGGAGCAGCACCACCTCCTCATTGACTTCCCCTTTTTCAGAGATAAAACCCACTGGCTCAAGCCCTTCGATAACCCGCTTCCCCCACATCAAGGCGCTGAAGGCACGCGTATTCACTGTGCTCGCTATATCGATCAACACCGGCATGGAAAACAAGTGGGAGCAAGGGATAGTTCCAAATTCACGATGGACCTCCACAAGGGCCGAAAGAGACGTAAGAAAGCCTGCGGTGCTCGAGTACGCACGAGTGCGATACGAAGCAGCGTTTTGCACAACCTCGGCGATAATATTTTGCGCAAGCTCCAAGTCTTCAGGGTAACTCGTCTGAAGGAGTACCCCCATCAGGAAGAAATGCTCCTTGACAGAAACTTCATCAAAGCTAGAGCCATAAGCTGATGCGCGTGCCAAAAGTGCTTTAGTGCGCTCCAACATATCCTGAGTCTGCAAAAGATCATGGATTAGAACCAACCGTAGTGGAAGCTGCTTCTGGGACCCATCACTGACGCCTTCGGCTTCCGGTTCGATGTGCTCCATGCGCTTTGCAAGGCTTAAGAGCTTAGCGGTTAGGAAACGCGCATCGACGCCGGAGCCGACCCGTCCATATTGCCCACGAGCATCAAGCCGAGCAGCCTGGTGCCCACCGCACCTACCGAGAGGTCCGCACATACACAACAAGGACCAAAACGACGCCCGCGATCGAAAAGTGGATGGATTGATAGACGCCAGCGTGAGCAGCATCGAGAAGATGATGCATGTCATGCGTATAGACAACCAGAAAGGTACGTTATCCTGAAAGGAGTTGTGCATGAGGGCGGAAAGTCGTTCAAGGACCGCCTCATGAAGCGCCATCGCGGTCGTCCAACGTGCTGCTTCTGGACAATTTTTCGCTTCGTTAAAGAGAGCCCCTGCCAGAGTGTGCAGAGTTCGTACCAAAACCGTCGTGGTAAAGCGCGACGTCTGCTCAGAGGCAGTATCGAGAATGCGGCATAAAGCGGCTACTCGGGCTTCTGCTGAGCGCAGATGTACCGTAAAAAGGGCGCAGTAGAAGCGCTCTATCTCTTGAATAAGCGGTTCCATACTTCTCAGTGCTTTCTCCTCCCCTCCCTCAAAGGCAGGGGTTTCCAAGAAACTCATAGTAATTGGGATGCGATCAAGGTCTGAGCACAGCCTTGGGTCAGAAGAGCTCTGAAATACATAATGGAAAAGAAATTCTGATGAAAACCCTCTTATGATAGATAACGGCAGGCGCCACACTCGCCGTAGACCCAACTTACGTACCCCGATGTTGGGGTGAAGAATAAGCTTCAGGAAAAGTATCTCGATCCATACGGGGTGTAGGATGGATTGTGTATGGTACGGTAAATGGGAAGGCATTATGTCCATATTATCACTCCTATCAGTCAAATTAGTAATGCTACTCCTGTTTTCTTGGTTAACGCTACTGACATCGCTTGATATCATGGAAAGAGACTGCAGCTTAATGAGGGCGTCAAGCTTAAGCAAAGCGGGTTCTACAATGTGCAAACCGAACTCCTTCATAGTCTCTAGAATAAGGAAAAACTGTTCCCACTGCACAAAACTCTGATCGTGGTCCCAGACGAACCACTCGTGAAATCGAACGATACCACGCGCCGCACAGTGGGTTGACGACACGCCGACAGCGAGGCGCCGAGCAGTCTCACCGCTGCTGAAGTCTCGGAGTTTCGTCCTGCTCTCACGAAAGCGAGTGATGGCTTTTACCTTCAAGGAGCCCCCCACTTTCTCTGCATGGGTTAGGTGTATAATACGCTTCAGGAGGTATTCCGCACGCAGCTGCATATTCGCTCTCCGTCCAGCATCCGTGTTGGAGGTGAGAGCATCCCAAAAACCCCGATGTAACACGCGCCATAGGAACGGGGAGCATCGGTAGTCCTGTGCGGCATCTCCGACGCGACTATGACGAAAGAGAAAGTCAAACAGAGCAGCTATCAAGACAATCACTTCACTTCGATTCCCTGAATGGCTTCCGAGTTTCCCATCCTCGGCGTCTCCGGCATTTTGATCCCCGCTGCTGTAAAGTGCTTCAAGCAGCTCATGGAGCTGCGGCTCAAAGACCCTTAGGCTTTCCTCGTCTGTGTCCTTCAATAAAAGCAGGGGAATAAGAACACGGCGACAGAGAAGAGCTGTGAGGACCACATCAGAGCGGTACAGCTGTGCAGACTGCCCCAAGACGCGAAAACAACAGGAAATAATTGATTTTTTCAAAGCACAACGCGCCGCCTGATCCGGTGGCGTCAGGAAAGAACATATAGGAGCCTCATGCATTTGTCCTCGATCCACTTTCGGTCCCACATCTGTGTCATTCAAATGTGAATTCCACCGTTCAGAGGAGACTACGGACTTCTTATCTCGCCGTTCGCCAATAGTCACACCCGTTCCAGCTGAAGTGGCTGACAGGGCACCTGTTATCCCCTCAGCGGGGAGCTCGATGGGGCATAGGTTCACCAGAAGCGAGGTGCAATAGGAAAGCAACTCCACAGCAGACGTCGCTGGGATCTTCAACTCAGCTTGGTCTAAAGTAGCATCTAGAGAACCGCAAGCAGAGTGAAACATGTTGCGGCAACAATTGTGCAAAATTAACTGCGCGGCGCCGTAGCACGTGCTTGCGATGACGTCCTCCGGGAAGGGTGGGTGGGCGACTAGGATGGAATGGATAATCTCACCAAAACGGTTTTCCATGTCCAACGATTCATGTTGTGTCGAGAGCAAAGTCCGATGTGTCAGAGAAGGATGTGATGAACGGAGTACAATTAGTGCACTCGCGGATGAAACGACAGCGGGGACACACTCACCAGTAGTGTTGGTGGTAGCCACCTGCAGAGAGTTCAGAAGCTGCACCAGATGACGCTCTCGTTCCTCAGGATCAAGAGACTGTGCTACATCGAGCGCTATGCTAAAAAGTAAAGATGGAAACCCCTTACAAGTATTGCCACGGGGCGGGTGAGCTCTATTTTGGAAACGCCTGTAGAGCGTGGATACAAGAACTTCAATAGGCACCTCCATATTATCTAAAGACACCGAAATGTCTGCTTAAATACACATATATGTGTAAAACTTCGAAAAAATCTTTTTATGGTGTTTATTCAAGTTAAAGGGAAATAAAAAAGCATGTGAATTCTAGCAATCATAGAGAGATCTCTTGACCACAATATAATAAAGCAATATCACAGTTAAAAATAACAATGTGGCACCTTATCCGTAAGATTTTTCAACATAATTTCAACGTAGGAGCCATATAAATCAATCACGGCAAGTGAAATAATGTGAACCCTGCTGGGGCCATCGTATCTGAAGAGCAGCTACTCTGCTCACACACGAAGTGAATTCAATAAAGACTATCGCTAAAAGCATAAGATAATTAGTTAAGGAAATTCTCAACACTTTTTCCAAATGCAAAGAAGAAGCAATGAAATCTGTCTAACGAAGGGACTAACCCAATAGTGAATGGCACCTTGAGGTCCTAGGTATCAATAATGCGTTCTCCGTAAACCTCAAGTTTGTTTTGCATAAAAGAATTGCCGCCAGAATAAGAAAGCAGCGAATCAGGGAGAACATGGGCCAGGCCTGACGGATTGAGCTTTAAGACTTCCCCTCGGAAATCTCCACAATCTCCCATGCTATCTGCATTATGTACTTCTCCAGCTTCCTCCTTGATGTTCGACAAGAATCCCAATCCCAGATGGTGCAACTCATCAGCATTCCTCGTGGGCAATCGAAGACATGGGGTAGAATCCGATGAAGGTATCAAGCTCGCCGCTGCTCCTGGGGTCGAAGCCATTATGGCTGAGGAAGCCCTAGAAGAAGAAAGGGAATCACCAGCAGATGTAAGAACTAAGAACTCCACCCGATTTGTGATTTCACGGCTCTCAAATTGCCCTAAAAGGTCTGAATTCTTGTTCTCGCCGTTAGAATTACCGCACCCCTCACGTTGTACAAGCTCCATCATGCCAAAAAGAAAGACTAACGCGTTGAACTCAATGCAGTCGTGACGGGAGGAGTCCCTTGCTCCCTACCGAGCAGAGGGAGGTAATAACGAGCCCAAGGGTAAAATATCTTCGGCTTGAAAAAAGAAAGGAAAAAACAGGCAGCATTATGGAGCAGCTACGACAGCAATTAAAGGCATTGCAAACACAAATAAAGTGT